TCATAAAAAGAATGGACAGTAGATTTGCTTCACTTTTTTTATAAAAATGTACATGGTTTTTCAAGTACGAGTGTTTTAATAAGTAGGTTTGTCTCATAAAAAGAATGGACAGTAGATTTGCTTCACTTTTTTTATAAAAATGTACATGGGTTTTCAAGTACGAGTGTTTTAATAAGTAGGTTTGTCTCATAAAAAGAATGGACAGTAGATTTGCTTAATTTTTTTTATAAAAATGTACATGGTTTTTCAAGTACGAGTGTTTTAATAAGTAGGTTTGTCTCATAAAAAGAATGGACAGTAGATTTGCTTCACTTTTTTTTATCAAAATGTACATGGTTTTTCAAGTACGAGTGTTTTAATAAGTAGGTTTGTCTCATAAAAAGAATGGACAGTAGATTTGCTTCACTTTTTTTATCAAAATGTACATGGTTTTTCAAGTACGAGTGTTTTAATAAGTAGGTTTGTCTCATAAAAAGAATGGACAGTAGATTTGCTTCACTTTTTTTATGAAAATGTACATGGTTTTTCAAGTACGAGTGTTTTAATAAGTAGGTTTGTCTCATAAAAAGAATGGACAGTAGATTTGCTTCACTTTTTTTATAAAAATGTACATGGTTTTTCAAGTACGAGTGTTTTAATAAGTAGGTTTGTCTCATAAAAAGAATAGACAGTAGTTTTGCTTCACTTTTTTTATAAAAATGTTCATGGTTTTTCAAGTACGAGTGTTTTAATAAGTAGGTTTGTCTCATAAAAAGAATGGACAGTAGATTTGCTTCACTTTTTTTATAAAAATGTACATGGTTTTTCAAGTACGAGTGTTTTAATAAGTAGGTTTGTCTCATAAAAAGAATGGACAGTAGATTTGCTTCATTTTTTTTATAAAAATGTACATGGTTTTTCAAGTACGAGTGTTTTAATAAGTAGGTTTGTCTCATAAAAAGAATGGACAGTAGATTTGCTTCACTTTTTTTATAAAAATGTACATGGTTTTTCAAGTACGAGTGTTTTAATAAGTAGGTTTGTCTCATAAAAAAAATGGACAGTAGATTTGCGTCACTTTCTTTATAAAAATGTACATGGTTTTTCAAGTACGAGTGTTTTAATAAGTAGGTTTGTCTCATAAAAAGAATGGACAGTAGATTTGCTTCACTTTTTTTATAAAAATGTACATGGTTTTCCAAGTACGAGTGTTTTAATAAGTAGGTTTGTCTCATAAAAAGAATGGACAGTAGATTTGCTTCACTTTTTTTATAAAAATGTACATGGTTTTTCAAGTACGAGTGTTTTAATAAGTAGGTTTGTGTCATAAAAAGAATGGACAGTAGATTTGCTTCACTTTTTTTTATAAAAATGTACATGGTTTTTCAAGTACGAGTGTTGTAATAAGTAGGTTTGTCTCATAAAAAGAAAGGACAGTAGATTTGCTTCACTTTTTTTATAAAAATGTACATGGTTTTTCAAGTACGAGTGTTTTAATAAGTAGGTTTGTCTCATAAAAAGAATGGACAGTAGATTTGCTTCACTTTTTTTATAAAAATGTACATGGTTTTTCAAGTACGAGTGTTTTAATAAGTAGGTTTGTCTCATAAAAAGAATGGACAGTAGATTTGCTTCACTTTTTTTATAAAAATGTACATGGTTTTTCAAGTAAGAGTGTTTTAATAAGTAGGTTTGTCTCATAAAAAGAATGGACAGTAGATTTGCTTCACTTTTTTTATAAAAATGTACATAGTTTTTCAAGTACGAGTGTTTTAATAAGTAGGTTTGTCTCATAAAAAGAATGGACAGTAGATTTGCTTCACTTTTTTTTATAAAAATGTACATGGTTTTTCAAGTACGAGTGTTTTAATAAGTAGTTTTGTCTCATAAAAAAAAGAACAGTAGATTTGCTTCACTTTTTTTATAAAAATGTACATGGTTTTTCAAGTACGAGTGTTTTAATAAGTAGGTTTGTCTCGTAAAAAGAATGGAGAGTAGATTTTTAAGCAGTCTTTCTCTGTAGGTTTTTTGCATGTGCCGTAAATTTTGAGTGCGATACTTTGTGCAGTTACTTTCAACACTATCCACTACTGGTTTTAACCGAAAACCCCGAACTTTTGTGAGCCGAGATCATCTCGGCTGCGGCTAGAGATGTGACTGGAAGAAGTCAATAATCTAGATAAGTTTAGGTTTAAGTTTTAAATTAGTATATTTGTAAAACCTATTACTGCCTTTAAAAAGAAAAAATTTAAATGCACCAGGTCCGAGTATCGCAGAGGCCATGGAACAGGAATCGCACCCAAATCAGTGTTTTCTCAATTATCGATACCGCGTTAGATCGCGGTTTAACTATTCGTGTTTTTGAATACGTGAGGATCGGTGCTGAGAGAAGCCTTGAACTTTTAAACGAATGATACAGTTCTCTGAAACCGAAAACCTTCAAAATAACATCGGCTTAGCGGTGGAATAACCAATCTGCATTCATATCGGAACGAAGGAATAACACTCACAGCGACGCCTACGTAATTCTTGGTGGTTGCCACCCAAGTTATTGTTTACAAATCTCACAGTCCATTTTGTTCTATCTCTCTCATCCGACCATTCGAATGTTCGAACGAGTGTCACTTGCCAGCCACAATAAATCGAATAAATTATTACAATTATTCAAATTAAATCAAAAACGGGCGACAAATTAGAATTGGATTTTAATCGGTTTCAATTATCTCACACATGTGCGCTCTGTTTTAATTTTTATCATTAAGTTTACATTAGGTATGTGTGTAAACACATGGCAAAATGTTATAGTCAGATATTCAGTAGGATCTTAAAAACCTTATGTTGACAGATCGTTTTACCTTCTGAAGATCCTAGGAACCGAGAAGCGGTTGTTATCTACCCAGCCAAAGAATGCAAGGAGGGAAACGCTGTCGTTGAAACCGGTAGGTGTGTCGTTATCGTATGAAAAAAGTTCGTCGATATCAAAGCCTACTCAAAAGTTGATGAAGATTTGCTCCCAGAACAAAAAATTCTTGAATTCTAACAAACATTCGTACGCGTTTACCTTCTTTCGTCACTCAGATAAGTTACAACAAACGGACAATATCATCAAAATTATAGAAAGTTACTTTCTAAAAACAAACATATACCACCAACACAACGGAGTACCACAGGGATCTATCCTCGGGCCATACCTGCGGAACCTACTCATTGCCGATCTGCCGGTAGAAAACCTTGCAGGAAAAGAATAAGAAAAAGAAAAGTAAGTAAACGAGGTGGATAGACAACGCGTTCACAATACTCACACACGATTCAAGAGAATAATGTAAGAACAAGGAATTTAGTTTTTCTACTAATAACGCATTTGTTTATGGAGCAATGAAGTATGAATTCGATTTCCAAAGGTATTTAGGTAAATATTCATATATATATTTCGTGATGTATGCGATTTAAGAAAAAACTGTAGGTCATGTTAGTAGTATTGGAAATTTGAAGCACTTGAGAGCATCTTAAAATGGATTCCTACCCGTTAAATGATGTATCGAACCATTTAGATGGTTTATATACAAATAAATAAACATTCATATTTTCCATCTGAGTTTATTTGGTTTGCAAAGGCTGGATACATCTTGGATACTTCGATTAAGCAAGAATCCCTGAATTAACATATGCTTTAGTTCTAAATCATGGAGCAAAGCTGAGAATGACAACTTCAGTTGGTATAAGGTGGTCTGAAACTGTGGTTTAAGGAAGTGTCCCCAATATCAACAGTAATATACTCGTATACTGAACTTCTATAGCAGCTAAAATAATAACAAGCTTTGCAAGCACTTTTCATATCTAGGGAAACTCTATGTCGGCAAGAACGAGAAATTAAATCATATCAGAAATCCAACTAGGTAGAGAGACGAAACCATGAAATTGCCTCTTCTCGACATAGAAACAAAAATTCCATTAAAACTTTTTCATCCTGGAAAACTTCTGACGTACATAACTGATATCCTACCGGCTCACTCGACATCAGTCGGAAGTTTTCTACTTACTTGTTAACTATCCGTATTTAACCGGGCCAAAAGGGTGGAGAGATCTCTGAATGATAGGGTTTTTGCTGGTTATTGAAGCCCCAGGAAATATAGTCATAAAAACCTAGATAAGGGTTGTGTAGGTAGTTGATGGAACACCACGAGACAAGGTCGTACCTTGAAATTTTGCAAGAAGGGTTACACTTATCAGTACATTAGAAGCCATAAAAATAATTTTGACACGTAAAACTAGTTTTGAGTATAAAGGATTAAAATTTGTTTTTTACTTCCCAAATTTCTGAAATGAGATATTGTTTTTTGGATGACTATAACTTGGAAAGTACCCGTCCGATTTTAATGAAATTTTCACTCAAGGTTGCTACGATGCCAAGAGCTGAAAACTTTGCAGTTTCTGAAAATCGGTCCAGTGGCGGCGAAGTTAGGGGTAAAACGCGTAGAAAATAAAAATAAAAAAAATTTGAAGGCATTAAAAATTGCGGGTTGCGCTGTGTCATTGCCAAATGGGCGGTACTACCGGTAGCGCAGGGAAATAATGTCTATGTTCGTAATTAACTGTTTTTCGCTGAACGCCTAACTTGTGCGGAACACAACTTCATGGACTTGACAAAGCTTAAGGAAAGAGTGCCAACTTCTGCCATAAATTCAGTGACTAATGACGAATAATACAACCAACCATGTACAACGCTGTTCAACATGTAGTACGTTCGAGTTGGATTCTTAAGATTGTCCTCGTCTGGGAAGACATTGATATCGACATATCCTCAACATGTGACGGGAGTAATCCAGCCTTCCAGGCCGCGTTTTACTCGGTCTTTGTAAAGACTAAAGAGGTTGGAGATCGAGATTGCTTCCCAACAAATAACTATGTTTTTCCCTAGCATCTATTTCATTCAAGAGGTATGTTCATACCAAATCCAGTCCTTCCACGGCCTCCTGTTAGAACTAGGCCGCTAATAGGATTGATATATAACAACGAATTACCTGTATAATCCCAATATTGTTGCTCTTGTATCCGACCTCAATCCTAGTATGGTGCTGTTGAGGCGCCGGTTGAGCCGCAGGCACGTCTTTCCACCTTAACACCCCCATCACGGCTTGCCTGACCCATCCCCTAGGCAATGTGTTCCTCTCCGATTCCGCAAGGGTCCTCATGTCACTCACAATCAAAACCAAAAGGAAAACAACCATCCACACTTTCACATCTTCCGCACCTCGACACCCATCTATTGATGTCGCGCGTCGCGCCGATATCGCGCGTGCAGTAGGCCTTGAAACGAGCGAGCGTCGGTTGCCGACTGCTGAAACATTTGAACGTCGCGGCGAGCGTCGCGGGGTCGCCGTCGCCGCGTGCAGCGATCGGCCAATAGGGAATAAGTGGGTAACAAGTGGTAGGTTGTCGGTGACCCGATCGGAGGCGATCGGGAAATTTGGAATGTCGGCCCAAGTGGATGAGGATCAGAAAAAAAATTGCTGAGATTCGCCAAAAGAGAAGAAGAGGGTAAAAAGTGGAAGGTTGTCGGTGACCTGATCTAAGCTGATTCAGATTCAGTGGCTCCGAAATTAAAGGAGATTCTGACAGAAAATACATGACGGATCAGAAAAAATTGCTATAATTGGCCAATAGGGACTACGTGGAAGGTTGCCGGTGGACTGATAGAAAAATCTCGGGAAATATCGGGATTTTTGTAATGTGGGCTCGGTGGATGAAGGATCAGAAAAAACTGCTGAGTACGGCCAATAGGGAATAACTGGGTAAAAAGTGGAAGGTTGACGGTGACCTGATCGAAGGTGATTGAGATTATAGGGGAATTTGGGATGTGGCTCCGAAATTAAAGGAGATTCTGACAGAAAATACATCAGGGATCAAAAAAAAATTGCTATAATTGGCCAATATGGAATAAGTCGAAGGTTGGCGGTGAACTGATCGAAAAAGCTCGGAAAATATCGGGATTTTTGTAATGTGGGCCCGGTGGATGAAGGATCAGAAAAAAATTGCTGGGATCGGCCAATAGGGAATAATTGGGTAAAAAGTGGAAGGTTGTCAATAACCTGATCTAAGCTGATTGAGATTATAGGGGAATTTGGGATGTGAGCCCGAAATAAAAGGAGATTCTGACAGAAAATACATGACGGATCAGAAAAAATTGCTATAATTGGCCAATAGGGACTACGTGGAAGGTTGCCGGTGGACTGATCGAAAAATCTCGGGAAATATCGGGATTTTTGTAATGTGGGCCCGATGGATGGAAGATCAGAAAAAACTGCTGAGAACGGCCAATAGAGAATAACTGGGTAAAAAGTGGAAGGTTGACGGTGACCTGATCAAAGGTGATTGAGATTATAGGGGAATTTGAGATGTGGCCCGAAATTAAAGGAGATTCTGACAGAAAATACATGACGGATCAGAAAAAATTGCTATAATTGGCCAATAGGGACTACGTGGAAGGTTGCCGGTGGACTGATCGAAAAAGCACGGGAAATATCGGGATTTTTGTAATGTGGGCCCGGTGAATGAAGGATCAGAAAAAAATTGCTGGAATCGGCCAATAGGGAATAATTGGGTAAAAAGTGGAAGGTTGTCGGTGACCTGATCGAAGGTGATTGAGATTATAGGGGAATTTGAGATATGGGCCCGGAATTAAAGGAGATTCTGACAGAAAATACATGACGGATCAGAAAAAATGCATAGGGAATAACCACGCAAAAAGTGGAAGTTTTCTAGTGATCAGATTGGAGACTATCAGGGAATATCGGAGAATTTTAAATGTGTGACCAGGACTCGAGGAAATTCAGACCAGGTGCTTGGAAGATCAGAAAAAAATGCTCAAATCGGCCAATAGGGTAACAAGTGGAAGGTGATAGGGAAATTTCGGGGAATTTGAAATTTACACCCAGGATTGAAAGAAACTCAAACAGAAAGAACCTGAAGGATCAGAAAAAACTGCTAATATCAGCCAATAGGGGATGAGCGGTGATACCCTGTCGGGGACCTAATTGGAGATGACCGGAAGATATCAGGAAATTTGAAATGGGGCATTCGACAAAATTCCGGCAAGGTACAAGAGGGGTGAATATTGGGAAATTTGAAATTTTGTTCCAGGAAAACTTCATATAGAAGATGCATGAAGGATCAGAAAAAATTGCCAAGATCAGCCAATAGGGAATAAGTGGATAACAAGTGGTAGATTGCCGGTTACCCGATCAGAGAAAATCGGGAAATATCGGGAAATTGTAATGTGGGCCCGAGATTGAAAGAAATTCAGAAAGATGCATGAAGGATCAGAAAAAAATGCAGACATCGGCCAATAGGGAATAAGTTGGTAACAAGTGGTAGATTGTCGGTGACCCGATGGGAAATATCGGGAAATTTGAAATGTGGGCCCGAGACTGAAAGAAATTCAGAAAGATGCATGAAGGATCAGAAAAAAAATGCAGAGATCGGCCAATAGGGAATAAGTTGGTAACAAGTGGTAGATTGTCGGTGACCCGATGGGAAATATTGGGAAATTTGAAATGTGGGACCGAGATTGAAAGAAATTCAGAAAGATGCACGAAGGATCAGAAAAAAATCTAAGATCGGCCAATGGGGAATAAGTGGGTAAAGAGTAGAAGAACCCGATCGCAGGTCATAAGGAATACGGGGAAATTTCAAATGTGTGCCCAGGATTGAAAGAAATTTAGGTAGAATATGCATGAAGCATCAGAAAAAATCAAAGATCGGCCTATGGGGAATAAGTGGGTATCAAGTGGTAGGTTACATGTTATCTGATCGGACGTGACGAAGAATTTGTTCAAACCGGAAATTTAAAATATAGATTTTACTTTTGCTTGAACATATTTTCTTCACAGCGCATCCTCAGTCGTTTCAAACCGTTGGAAACGCGATGCTAGAATATAACTACCTAACCAGCCGCTTAAATTTTATTTTCCACGTATCGCAACTGTCCGATTATCGGCAGGTGTCTACTGTCTACCATTATTCCACCACGTTCGAAATCGATGGCATGTGCCAGGGTACACCCCCACCAGTCAAAATCCAAAGGGCAGACGCCGGAAGGCCCACCGGCTGCTCCGACATATGCGCCCACAGCTGATAGATAAACGACGGATCCGTCGGCCGGTGGGTTATTTAGCTTTACGGGGGTCGCGAGATATCTACAGTAGATTTGCAACATATATCCGTACTACTACACTTTGGATTCGCCATTTGTGACCCAAAATACGTTATATAGGGGTCATTTGAAATAGTAGCAGGCCAAATATACGTCCACTTCCTAAGTGTACGTTTATGTATGACCGGTGTAGCGCACAAAACTGCATAGGTTATAATTGATTTTTTAAGCTTTATTTTTGGTTCCAGATGTTTTACCGAAAAGCATCTGGAAATAGCTGAATAATTAAAAAAAAATCGTGGAAAATGAAGACGGTTTCTATATTTCGGCAGAAATACCGAAAAATCGGTAGGTTTGGCAACGCTGTCCGAGTCGTCCGCAGCTGAACTGTCATAGCCACCCGAGATGTCCGTGCATAGCGCTTTGCGGTCGTTGGATCGCAGCTGTCACGTCACGGGACAGTTGCTTTGTCGTTTTCGGGAATTTCTACGGCTGCCACAGCCGGATTTATGTCGGAGCTGGGAATATCGCGTTGCTCTCATTTCCGATCCGATTTGATGGCACACGGACCAACTATCAAGTGTCATGGTGTATCTTCTTGCATCTGTTAGTTACTTTGTAATTTATATCGGGGCTTCGCATCAGTACATTTGCGGAATTTTGATATGGTATTTGTCAAGAAGCGGAATTGCTCCGTACTTTTAAGTGGTCGTATTAGTTTCAAACTGGCTCGTACAGCTCTTGACAAAACGTGAGACTAATGACATCATAATTAATAACTAATTAATTTTTTTTGTAGGTACAAAAAGCACACATCGCAAACTATAATTTTTGAGACAGTGGCGTATATAAGAGGTAGGGGCCTACGGTACAAAATCCTGATCATGTTCTGGGCGGACTTGACAATTTTTAAGATTAGTACGTAGCTACAGCTTTCGTAAAAGAACGGGGGCAAAAATATTTTGACAGCTACTGATCTGTAAATTATTTATTTTGTGCCGAGTAGCTAAAAGGGAATTAACCAATTTTTTCGACTTATGTATAAAATAAAATTAAGGAGACTAGAAGGATTTGATCCTAGCCTCAAGTTTAATTAAAATTTAAAGGCCTTTTTCCATACTTTTACTTATACAATTTTACTGAAATGTAATTCCTAGTCCTCTCAGCGAATATGTAAATCGAAAAAACTATACTAAGTGACATATAAATCCGAACACCCAGTTTAAATGGTTTTATTTTAATAAAAGTTGGTGAATGTATTTATCTTACTGTAAACAACAAGTGAACAAATTTTCAGCCTTATCAGTTGGACATTCCGGTTTTTATACTGCTTTTTTTTAATTCACTAACGCTCTAAAAAAGAATATTTCAGCCGCAGTAAAGAATCAACGTTGGCGGATTTTGGTTCTCGACATCCTTTACGATCGGTTACGATGCCTAGAGTACGGAGACCTGTACGATTTCGTCAACTTAGTGAGTTTGATAGGGGCCGTATAGTGGGACTTCGGGAAGCTGGACTTTCTTTTCGGGCAATTGCAGTTAGAGTGCAAAGAAGTGTAGACACTGTGGTTAGGTGTTGTCAGGCATGGCTTCGAGAAGGCCGTACGCAAAGAGCAAGGGGCACTGGACGCCGCCGTAGAACAACATACCGTGAAGATCGCCGCCTAAGATTATTGGCCTTAAGGGACCGTTTCTCCACTACCAGGTCCATTGCAAATGAATGGTTTGCAGAACACGGAAGACCTATTGGCATGCGAAGTGTTTACCGACGAATGAGAAGTTTTGGCTTGTTTTCATACCGGCCACACTGGGTCCTCCCTTTAACTCGAGAACGCCGACGTAATCGCCTTGAGTGGTGCAGACAACGGTCACTCTGGGATCAGGAATGGAACAGTATTGTCTTTAGTGACGAGTCTCGATTTTGTTTAGGCATGCACGATGGTCGTGCCAGGGTTAGAAGGCGACGTGGTGAAAGGAGGAATCCACGGTTTTTTGTTGAAAGACATGTTCATCACACTGTTGGAGTTATGGTTTAGGGTGCTATAGCTTATGGTTCCAGGTCACCTTTAATCTTCATCAGAAGTAACATGAACGCGCAGCGTTATATCCACGAAGTTCTAGAACCCCATATTTTACCCTATCTTGACACCCTGGCAGATTTAACTTTCCAATAAGAT